GCGAAGCTGGAGTTGAACCCCATATCCTATGTTTCTAGAGTACCCAAGGGATGCAACTCTACACTGACCATACCCCTACCATTGTCCCGAGTCAGTGTTGAAGTGATTAATGTATTGACGCAATGGCAGCCAACTGGACTCAGTATAGTTCAGTTGAATTTTATTACAGGGTTGTGTTCTAAGTCCATGCAACTTTTAAATGAATTGACAACTAACTGATTTAGACTGAATTACGTTACCATTGGCTGACAGAAAAGATGGTTAATTTTGTTTGAATGCTTTTGTCACTTCTATACCCTGACACACACAAACATTACACAGAGTTCATACCACCATGACTTCACACATTCATATTCATTATTCACACACACACACACACACACACACACACACACACACTCCCAGAGAGAGAGAGAGTTTCACACACACAGTTTCACACGCATACACTTTTCTCTCTCTCTCTCCCTCTCTCTCACACACATAACTAACATAAGAAAGACAGCGTGTTGATATCCAAGGATCTCTCAAGCAATATGATTCAATTTGTGATGAAGTTAAATGTAACCGTGTGTCTATAGTTCATCAAAGGTTCTTTACAACGCAGATATTTTCTGTTCAAGGTTGCACAGCCAGCAAACTATGATCGTTCAACATATCATAACCATGAAACATATACATACTTCTTAGCAACAAACAAGCAAATCTTTGAGGGGCATTTAGAAGTTGAATACAAAGAAAGCAAGATTTATGGATGTCAACATCTGTATTGTGAATAACACGACGTTTTGGAGTGCATGCTTGCTCCTTCATCAGGTATACTCCCTACCATTCACCTGATGAAGGACAAACATACATGCCCAAACGTCGTTTTATTCACAATAATGAAGTTGACATCCATAAATCTTGCTTTTCTTATACTAACAGGCACATACACTATGTACACTATAGTGAATGTATGCATACACACACACAAACGCGGACAAACAACATGCCAAACAAGACTTAGTTAAAACACATATTAGCATGCAAACAGCGATAAAATATATCACAATGATTATATTAATCCAAAGACACAGTCGACTGACACAAAGTTCAATCACCTTAGATATGTAAATATATACAAAAGTTCACTAAGGACTTTTGATACAGCTGACAAATTGAACTGATGTTATATGTGCTTCAGTAGGCATGTTTAAAATGTATTTCGCTATCTTTGTTTTGAACAAAAAGCGTAATGCTCCAGTGATGGTTATTGAATTTGAGTTACAATCACTGGGAAGGGGCGGTTGGGTAGCCTAGTGGTTAAAACGTTTGCTCGTCACGCCGAAGATCCGGGTTCGATTCCCCACATGGGTACAATGTGTGATGCCCATTTCTGGTGTCACCGCCGTGATATTGCTGGAATATTGCCAAATACTGCGTAAAACTATACTGACTCACTGACTGACTCGACCACTCACTCACTCACTCACTCTGTTCCACAGGTGAGCCAACTCATTTCACGTACTGGGCGCAAGGAGAGCCCAGCTTGTTGCATCGTATAGAAGACTGTGTGCTGCTGAAGACCACCAAGGACTATCACTGGGAGGACCACGCTTGTCACCTTTGGCCACAACACTACACATACATTTGTGAATACGGTAGGGTTCTTGACCTGGCTGGACATGTGGCACTTACAGCAATCATGCCGACAGGAAATCGTTAAAAAATCGAAATCATACAACTAGTAAATGTGGTGTTGTGGATGAAACCGGAGGTCTTGGCGATGTGAATCAAGAAATCTTCATGTTACCTGTCAGAGTAATATTGATTATGTAAATAGGTCTATTTCCGACACATGTACGTTGTACAAGAAATAGATTTAATATAATAGTGATATTAAGTTATGGACAGGTGTTATCCATTTCACAGAAACCTGGTATCATTCCTGACTTTTTGTTATCCCTTCACTTACTCGTCGACCCGTCAAGATCCGGGTTAGAATTGGTCTTTAGAAACCCATGCCGGACGTATGAGACGACTGACGGGATCGGGTGGTCAGACTCGCTGACTTGGTTGACACATGTCATCGTATCCCAATTGCGTAGATCGATGTTCATGGTTTGGGACAGACCGCGGTCATACAGCTGGAATATTGCTCAGTGCGGCGTTAAACAACAAACAAACAAATTACATAATTGTCACCCCTATTTTGTGGAATCTGTTTATGCAGAATCTGCTTACATTGCCACCTGTGTTGCGTTGACTTTAATGAGCTGATTTGTATGCTTCCTGCAGATATGGTTCCCTTGCCAACGACGACCATGACGACCGTGACTACCCCGTTACCACAGTCCGCCTCTACTGAACCAATTACTACGACGGCACAACCAGTTTCACAGGGTCCAGTTATAACAGCACAACCGGTTTCACAGGGTCCAGTTTCAACAGCACAACCGGATTTCACAGGGTCCAGTGTCAACAGCACAACCGGTTTCACAGGTTCCAGTTTCAACAGCACAACCGGTTTCACAGGGTCCAGTGTCAACAGCACAACCGGTTTCACAGGGTCCAGTTTCAACAGCACAACCGGTTTCACAGGGTCCAGTGTCAACAGCACAACCGGTTTCACAGGGTCAAGTGTCAACAGCACAACCGGTTTCACAGGGTCCAGCTTTCAACCGGTTTCACAGCACAACATCAGCACAACCGGTTTCACAGGGTCCAGTGTCAACAGCACAACCGGTTTCACAGGGTGTCAACAGCACAACCGGTTTCACAGGGTCCAGCTTGTCAGCACAACCGGCAGGGTCAAGTGTCCAGCACAATCACAGGGTCCAGCCATCAGGGTCACAGGGTCAAGTGTCATCAGCACAACCGGTTTCACAGGGTCCAGTGTCAACAGCACAACCGGTTTCCCAGGGTCCACTGTCAACAGCACAAACCAGGGTCCAGTTTCAACAGCACAACCGGTTTCACAGGGTCCAGCTTCAACAGCAAAACCGGTTTCACAGGTCCAGAGTCAACGGCACAACCGGTTTCAAAGGGTCCAGAGTCAACGGCACAACCGGTTTCACAGAAGCAGGTATCAACAGCACAACACATCTCAAAAGATCCGGAGTCAACGGCACAACCGGTTTCAAAGGGTCAAGTGTCAACGCCACGACCTACTTCACAAAGCCCCGTTTCACATGATCCTGTTACGAAGGCACAACCTTTTTCCCAAGACAATTAAAACAACGAAATGAACACGACTGCGTCATTTATATATCATGCACACAATTTATTAAGCATTAAAGATGTAATCGTCTAACGTTCGAACAAGAAAAGTTGCACTTTTATTGTTATGATGATTATAAAACCGCTAAGCCTAACATGTCAGCTGCCGCATGTCCTTCTATTATCTATTTGACAAATGTTTGTAGTTAGGTTTCAACACATTAATACACATAAAACAAATTTACAACAAGCTGAACATAATGTTTTTACTACTTTGTAGTATAGAGTTAAAGCCCAGTAAACAGGTTGCATAGAATATAATTACAAATATATCAAATATTCAGTTTATGTATCATTGGGATTACTACGTTTTTTGTCTTGTACAGAACGTATAGCAGCTATGAGTCATGGTTGGATGAAATAAACACTGCTTCTATCACCGTTGTCATCGTTCAAAATTTAAACCGTCATTCGGGTTCATTCTGTTCGTGTCACATAACTTCGTCATTCTGCTCATCACATCACTTCTTCATTCTGTTCATTTCACATCAGGGGTGGTGGGGTAGCCTAGTGGTTAAAGCGTCACGCCGAAGATCCGGGTTCGATTCCCCACATGGGTACAATGTGTGAAACCCATTTCTGGTGTCCCCCGCCGTGATATTGCTGGAATAGCGCTAAAAGCGGCGTAAAACTAAACTCACTCGCTCACTCATATCACATCACTTCTTCATTCTGTTCATGTCGCATCACTTCTTCATTCTGTTCATGTCACATCACTTCTTCATTCTGTTCATGTCACATCACTTCTTCATTCTGTTCATGTCACATCACTTCTTCATTCTGTTCATGTCACATCACTTCTTCACTCTGTTCATGTCACATCACTTCTTCATTCTGTTCATGTCACATCACTTCTTCATTCTGTTCATATCACATCACATCATCACTTCTTCACTCTGTTCATGTCACATCACTTCTTCACTCTGTTCTGTCTCATGTCATGTCACATCACTTCTTCATTCTGTTCATGTCACATCACTGTTCTGCCACATCACTTCTTCACTCTGTTCATTCATGTCACATCACTTCTTCATTCTGTTCATGTCACATCACTTCTTCACTCTGTTCATGTCACATCACTTCTTCACTCTGTTCATGTCACATCACTTCTTCATTCTGTTCATGTCACATCACTTCTTCACTCTGTTCATGTCACATCACTTCTTCATTCTTCTTCATTCTGTTCATGTCACATCACTTCTTCATTCTGTTGTTCATGTCACATCACTTCTTCATTCTGTTCATGTCGCATCACTTCTTCATTCTGTTCATGCCACATCACTTATTCACTCTGTTCATGTTCATTCTGTTCATGTCACATCACTTCTTCATTCTGTTCATGTGTCACTCTGTTCATGTCACATCACTTCTTCACTCTGTTCATGTCACATCACTTCTTCACTCTGTTCATGTCACATCACTTCTTCACTCTGTTCATGTCACATCACTTCTTCACTCTGTTCATGTCACATCACTTCTTCACTCTGTTCATGCCACATCACTTCTGCACTCTGTTCATGTCACATCACTTCTTCACTCTGTTCATGTCACATGACTTCTTCATTCTGTTCATGTCACATCATTTCTTCACTCTGTTCATGCCACATCACTTCTTCACTCTGTTCATGTCACATCACTTCGGCCTTCCCTCCTTCATCGACCAAAATTCCGAAATACCGTTCAAACGGCATGGAAAGTACTATTCATAATATACAATTACAGGGTAAGATGCAAATGGTAAATAAGCCAATAATTCTTTATTTTTTCTGACAAGAACCGGTCAGTGGTCCTTTCTTATGTTCTATAAAGTAATCCATTCCTGGCTAAAGTAGGGTGCATGGTTCAACATATTGCAGTTGTGGATCTATTCAGTTACTGTATCAAAATAGTAAAACGGAATCGTTGCTAAACAGCCTTTTTCCACGAGGTTATCAGTTGCCAAATGCACAAGACAAATGACACTATTAAACCACCAAGCAAGAGAATGAACCATTGCCTAGTGCACTGACCTCCGTAGCAAACGTTTGAGTCTGACTGAGCTACCTTGGCGTCATACATCTTCCCGATGATCGGAGTCAGACATTCAGACACAATAAAAGACACCATGATGACAAAGCCCCAGTTTCTACCATAGTCTTTATGTCCAAACGCTGTCAACACTAAACCTGCACCTAGAACCCACATGACTCCAGTGGCTGATCCAATAAGTCCAGCAGCTATTATAAGAATCGCAGGGTGTTCGGTGGAGATCAACAACATCGTGTTGGCCAACAACAATGCAGACACTGCAGCAAACATCACGGTGTAGATACTTCGTTGATCGTTGAAGTAATTGTAGAAAATACCAGAGAATAAAGCACTGCCGCAGATACATACACGACTTGTGATCATTGTTGGTGTATCGAAATATTGAAGGTTGACACTCTGGGTGATAACGGGTATGTTGCTGTAGACAATGGTGTCGGTTGCCATACTCAATGAAATTATCCAGAGTACTGCATGAAAAGATGCCGTCTTCAGGAGTTTCAATATTGGAACATGTTCAGACATTCTTTGAGTCATGAGTGGAATGTTTTCTTTTAAGACATTATCAGATGATGAAGCTGATGATGACGGTGATGATTTGTCATCATAGTTGGAAAGATCAGCATCAGACCTGTATATTTGTTCACTTGGTTCACACTCACTGTTTAACTTAGAGTCGGGAAAAGAATAACACGTGTTGATAGAAGGGTCTTTCTGGTCATGTTCTTCAGAAACGTCATTCTTGTTCCCAGAAATCAATAAATCTGTATCCCTGTTGAATTTAACAGTTTCATTAGATTTATCATCATCTATTTCATGTTCATCCATTTTATTTTCCGAGCAAAAGAAATATTTATATTTGGATTTCGGATCGGCCTCATCGTCGCTTGAAAAGAGTTCATCCTTGGCCTCATCAGTTGTACACATTGGTTTGTTTTCTTCCAGAGTATCACCATCAGTTGCATCAGGGATAGTTCCGTATGTACCTATCTCCATTTCGATTTCCTTACCATTGTTGGTATCAATAGTTCCTATGCTATCATCCGTCAACAGACATATCGCTAAAATATCCACAGTCACAAGCATTATCATCACGAACAAAATATAACCTTGAAAGTTTTGCTTCTTTGGGTCTTCAATCTGATCATTCCTGAAATATACGTCATAGATTAGGTGAAGAAAACCGGACTCCCAAGAAGTGTGGCTTTGTAAACACCCATCAATATCCCCCTAACTCGTGGATCAGCTTTTCGTGCACCTGTCGTCCAGGTAACGGTGAATGTCACGAAGCTACCTTGACCTGCAAGTTGAAGAAGTACAAGATTTTTATTAAATAAAAGACTGTACATTTAAACGTAAAACTGAAAAAGCGTCTTCTTTGGTGGTACGACACACTCAACACTATACCAGATACATTATTCAATGACATGCTGTGAATAATCGAATCTGTCTCTCTCCCACTCACACACACTAAGCGAGTCTGGACCAGACAACCCAGTGATTAACAGCATGAGCATCAATCTAGCCAAGTGGAATACGATGACCTGTGTCAACCAAGTCAGCGAGCATGACTACTCGATGTCGTAAGTCGCTTCATAGGACAAGCATCGGTTCCAGAAGACCAGTTATTGGGCATGTTTCGAACCAACGTCTTGAGAATCCCGACAACAAAGGCTCATAATCCTTTATTGAACGAGGATGAGTACTGTACATGGAGTGACTGCTGATACAGTGTAGCTAGAGTAAACATACTTGACCAAATCTCAATTATATGTGATGTGAGCAGTATCACTGTTCAAATATATTGAACAGATATTAATGCACAAGACAGTAGTTCCCTATTCAAGACATGGCAGCTATCAGATGAATGGTAATAGCTCACCAGCAATGAAAGCAAAAATAGTCATAAGCCACGATTTGTCACGGAAGAAGTCAACTGTGACAGAAGCGATGTACATCAGTCCAAGGCCTGGAGTGGTCATAGCTATGCCAATCAGCGAGGTCCACTTGGGTCCTATTCTGTCCAGCACGGCCCCTGTGTACACTCCAGTACCGAATCCAAGTAGAAATGAGGACATGACGAAAGACACTGAAACATTGCACATAGAACATGGTATGTACTCTTCTATGGTTCATCATTATTCAATTTTTATCTTACATAAACACATAATATATACTCTCCCAAAAGAACGCATCATGAAAATAGCAATTTCATGTAGCAATAAATTAAAACGTGATTCATTTTACAAAAGGTTTTGCTCTGTTTATGAGTCCTATGGTGTTTATGTTTTGAAACATCACAACAAAACGCACCATCCGTAAAATACCCGTATTTAACAGCATGATTTTACCCTCGATGTGTGTTTATGTTCCCTTTATGAACATAAACAAACATCCAGGGTACATCAACCCATGGGCCCCGAGGGACCAGTGAACAACGTATTTATCTTACCGAACACCTTAATGTTAATTTTGAATGGTTTGAAGCACGGGTACAGATCTTTTTGTAGCCATCGCTGGATTTTGCTGACAAGAAAAACAGATTTAGAGTTATCTCCCTTCCATCGATTTGCATTCGCAAAACATCGGTAATTTCCGTACATCATAGGTGATTCAATGTTATTCGAGATAAAGAATTACTACTACGAAGTACCAAATGCCATTGACAGCGGGGTACATTGAAATGTACTTCGCTTGTAAGCGGGGTACATTGAAAATAATAGAAGAGCGCTCAGCCAATCAGAAATCGACATTTATGTGTGAGGTAAGATAAATGTAGATTTGTCTCTGTGTGTATTCATGGAGGGATAAATGATGTAAATTTTTAAAGCATTACACAGAGTTCACCATGACTTCTTATATATTTATGTTCTTTATTCATAGAGGGATATGCAATGTGCACACACACACACATACAAACAGCAAACACGCACGCACACACACCTACATACACATCCATGCATGCATACACACATGCATGCACTCATACATACGTACGTACGTACATACATACATACATACATACATACATACATACATACATACATACATACATACATACATACATACATACATACATACATACATACATACATACATACATACATACATATATGCCTGCACTACAACGCTATTACTCATCTTTCTACATTTAATTGGCTATATCCAATTTCAGTAGGTAAGAGTTAAATGTGAGTAAAAATTGTCGAATCAATCAATACATTATACATGAGTGGACAAATCTATAGACTAGAACGAAACCAAAACAATTACTAATTCGTTATTGGTCAATTATAGATTTTAAACTATATTGATCGGTCCTAATGACATGGGCATCCAGTTGAATCGTAATTAAAATACTTACGATTGATTAGATCGATGACATTTTCGATCAGACAGGCTTTTTACCTGTTACAACCGTACGGAATAACCTATGTCTGCAAGCAAGCACACACATCAAAGTCAGGACGAAGACGGGGCTGCTCCGATGATACGTGTATATAGCTATAAGTAGTGTGGGTCAAATACAGTTAATAGCATTTATACCGAACACGCTTATAGCGATATAACGAACGGTTCACTCCCAAAAGACAGAGCTCCCATAAGACAGTGAGTGAGTGAGTTGGGTTTTACGCCGCTTTAGCAATATTCCCGCAATATCACGGCGGGGGACACCAGAAATGGGCTTCACACATTGTGCCCATGTGGGGAATCGAACCCGGGCCTTCGGCGCGACGAGCGAACGCTTTAACCACTAGGCTACCCCACCGCCCCCATAAGACAGACCTCCCATAAGACAGACTCAATGAGTACACTAATTAGCTGAGCCATGCTGTTCATCCCAACGTAATTAATGAGCTGACCCAGAGTCACTAAGAACACATTCCTATCTCTCCTAGTTTACAAGTGAATACATTGTGAATATTATAGTCTTTAATACCACAAACTAAAGCTATAATTACCAATTATCATAACACGTATCATTGCAAAGACTCTGTGACAAATCACAAAGACTGTCACAAATCATAAAGGTTCTGTCGCAAATATCACAAAGACTCCACTCTCACTGTAACCAAGTTCCCTACCAGTGCCACTGATGATGTTGAAGTGACTTTCTAATAAGTGTTATCTGTGAACTGACAAACATATGATGTAAAATAATATGGTGCCTGGTATCATATGCTTGATAGGTACATGTATATGAATTATTGTTTTTGATAATATTCACAAGTAAATGTGAAAACATATGTTGATGCAATTTAAAAATTCTTAATTTAAAAATCATAATTCATTACACCAATTGATAAAACTATAGTTAATACCTAATGTTGTCTTTTTATCTGGGCACATACCATTATTATCAAGGGTACAGCTTAATTAAGCCTTATGCAACCAACCATAAAATGGTTTTTTTAAGCGGTCTGTCTTTTGGGAGGTCTGTCTTATGGGAAGATACCTAACGAACTGGGTCTTTTCGACCATATGCTGTGAATGTTAATGGAAATGCATATGACCAACTACTATTGAGGATCCCTTTGAGGTCGTCATAACCGCAGTTCGTTATACTGTTTGCAGTTGTTTTTTATTCTTTCAGTGCGATATTTCGGTATGAATGCCAGCTGCTTGACCGGGAATTTTGTACTTATATTAGAGTTCATTTCCGTTTCAAAATGTCATTTTTCATCCTTACTGAGATGATAATACCGTTTTAAAGTTTTAATATATACGTCTTGTGGTTTAAGAGAAGATTTAACAATTTCATTTTGTCTTCTTCTATTTTTTAAAGTGTTACATTCACTGTCATCCGCATATCTTAATCCTATGTTTCAACACATCACGCCAAAATGTGTGCTTGCAAGGACCCGTTTATCTTAAGAATTTTTTTTATTATAAACTCCCTTAGAAGTTGAATTTATACCATGAACTGATAATGCACCCTTGAAGAACAGGGTTAGAATTTGTCATCAGAAGCCCATGCTGGTCGGAAAGCGCCCTACTGGTTCGGGTGGTGAGGCTCGCTGACTTGGCTGACACATGTTATCGCGTTACTAGGAGATATCTTTTTTTTACAGTAGATTTTGTACAATACCCTGACAATGCTATGACGTCATGAACTTTATGGCGTCACAATGTTAAGTCGAATGGCGGTATCATGTTCAGAGATGTATATTTTTCATGAAAACTAATGAAGAGTGATTTTTGATGATAAATAGAATTTCACCCTCGTGACTTCTGATATATGTAACTTTATCAACTCGTGTTGATATAATTGATATCAGTAGACACTTGAGTGAGATTCTCTATTAAGCAAACTAGGTCATAGGATAAGGTGATCTGCACATATTCGAGAGTATCTAATAAATGGGATCGTTCGGCAAACGATCAGTTTAATAACATATGTACATACATAAGTACTATGTCACAGTGAGCCACCTAACAATAATTAATTCGCTTGAATAATGAATCATCAATTATGGGAGTGTATAACAACTTATGGCAACCATGGACCGTTATGCCCGGAGGCCTCAATTGCGCAGATCTCTAGATAGCAGTAAATAGAAGCGACAAAACCCTTTCCACATCCATAGAAATCTTTGCCAAAAGCAGAATCGATTGTACAATTGTGACTATATCATGAGCAGATATTTGTTTCAGCAGAATTACTGCTGTATGATGTTGTTTGTAAACAAATCGGGTTTGAACCAGACAATCCAGTGAATGTCTCCATGCGATACGATGTCAGAGCATGTGTTTATGAATCACTATGAAATAGCGATGATTACCAGGTGTACGCCATAAGTTGAGCGTATCCTGCCCAAACGGTGGCACCAGTTAATTCAAGACCTGTAGTGTCCATGCTATGTACACACAATGGTTGCACAGAATGATAGTCATATTTCTATATATTTCAACTATAGCCAAATTATTGGTTGAACAGAGAGCAAAGACCCCCTTAATTAGATACGATGAAACCTAAGCAACCTAGTAAACAAGCCTGATCCTCCTATCCATGTCCCATCATTCCTATGAAGATCCGGGTTAAAATAATTGGTCTTCAGTAAGCCTCGCTGACTTGGTTGATGCATGTCATCGTATCCGGATTGCGAAGATCGATGGTCATGCATTTGACGCGATGCTATTGATCACTGGATTGTCTGCTCCAGACTCGATTATTTAGCTGTCAAATAGCTGGAACACTGCTGAGTGCGGTGTTAAACAATGCAAAAAACAAACGAATTCTATCCCGGAATCTTCAAGAGGTAAAATATAAAATACATATGGGTATCCTGAGGCATTTCACCGCTAATGGTTTCAAAATTGCTGAGACATCCGTGTAATATTTACCTTCAGTCTGTGTATAGTTGAACGTTGCTTTCATGGCTACCAGTGTTACATTTAAGGTGTAGTAACTGCCTACGGTAAACTGTCCCAGGAGTACCACAAGGGTCGCACATGCACCCTTCATTGTTATAGCTGACCAAAGAGAGGGGTTTGTCATTTGTAGTTGGAACCTGGAAAAAAACACTCAGGTTTGAATACGGACAGAATATTCGGGATGCAGCTGGGGTAGAATGGGAGTTATCGTGGCGTTCAAGATTACTGCTTTACACAAAGATATTGGGTGACATATGTTCACTAAAAGTAACAATTAATTGGTTTCTGGCGTTTAACAAGCGCAAATTTTGTCCCGAACTGTCTGCATTAATCTAGCATATTTTCATTTGCGTTATTTGTGTTTCCTGCTTCCCTCAGATGCTGTACCTACGTTTGATGGATGTACCCATCGATATCCACGAAAGAAATAGTCACACTTAATACCGGTGTGGCAGGATTAAATCACCCAACTTAATTTCAAATCTTGATTTATTCTGGGTTTTTTGATAGAATCACTCTGGAGTGACTTAATCACAGAACTGACACAGTCTAGAGTGAGAGATCCTAGAAGGATACTCTCTAAGGTGAAATGACCCTAGGATCAAAACCTTCCCTTCTCAGAATACCTTCGGTATTTATTCATCTAGAAATATAATAACTCAATACATGAACAAAAGCCACAATAATTATCAACAATAATGTATTATGAGGTGTGGATGTGAGTGGTAGTCACACGTAGGCGAAACATATATTTCAGATAAGAAATAGTTTGCTTTTTAGTCCCCAAAAGTAAATGAAAACCACAAGAGAGAGAGAGAGAGAGAGAGAAGAGAGAGAGAGAGAGAGAGAGAGAGAGAGAGAGAGAGAGAGAGAGAGAGAGAGAGAGAGAGAGATAGAGAGATAGATAGATAGATAGATAGATAGATTTATAGATAGACATAGATATAGATATATATACTGGCCACATAAAGAAACTGTGCACACAGAAACTATAAAGATAGGCAGACAGCGTCTTTCTACATAAATAAAGGTGTGAACATAGCAAGTATTGGAGACAATCAAAAGCTCATGCAGGTGCCAGGCGACGTGACGTCATTGATGGTGGCCTATGGACTTACAATATGTTACTGCACGTGCAGCCTGTGCAGCGGCACACAACATGTGAAATTGCTGTCACTGTCGAAAGCTTGATCTTTGGTCATTCAAACGTTCACAAATTCACATGAGAAGTCACATGCACATCATTCCAAGATTAACATCTGCTCAACGTCATGAAACCATTGGAATGGTTCGAGCAGGCATGAGCAAGCATGAGCCAACAACAGGTGGCAGCACATTTCCAATGCCATCGTAACACGATATTTGCATTGGTCAGGCGTTATGGAAACAGTAATGACGTCGCCGACCACCCACGTTCTGGGCGTCCCCGAGTAACGACGCCAAGACAGGACAGATGGATTCGGGTGACTCATCTCAGACACAGGTTCCAGACGGCAGTGACCACGTCCCAAACCATTCCCCAGGCCTTCAATGCTCATTTAGTAGCCTCTATGCGTCGACGATGCATTGCTGTGCTTCACGCGCATGATGGTCAAACCCGTTAATGACTTTGTGACTCCGACATGTGACCCTCTACTCAATTTTGAACTTCTGACGTCATCGTTACGGATATTGTTCATGTTCTTTTGACATGTTGTTGTGGCCCAATACTTCAGCTTATAAAGTGTCTACATCATTTCGTCTTTTCTGTGTTGTATTCCAATGCAGAAGGAATGTTCTGTGTGCACAGTTTCTTTATGTGGCTAGTACATTAGTTTTTGGATAGATAGATAGATAGATAGATAGATAGATAGATAGATAGATAGATAGATAGATAGATAGATAGTACTTGAATGACAATATGTTAAACTGAACTTGATCTTACTGAATACGTACAATTCTAATACAAATTACCGAACTGACAAATGATTAATTTTTATCAGAAAAGCACTTTATATATATATGCTTCTGTGAGTGAATGAATATGGTTTTGCGCCGCTTTTAGCAATATTCCAGCAATATCAGGGCGGGCGACACCAGAAATGGGCTTCACACATTGTACCCATGTGGGGAATTGAACCCGGGTCTTCGGCGTGACGAGCAAACGATTTAACCATTCGGCTACCCGCTTCTGTGCAGTATGGATTGATCATATATATTTTGACAAAAACGTTAACCTAAATAGCAAATTTTTAGTCCAATTTATTATTTTCATTTGATGTTCCTGGCTCATATACGATTTTATGTACAACAATTTTATGGCATTCATATATAAGCTGAGAAAAGTGGCTCACAAGTAGTAATTCCGTGGTTTTTTGGTGACTAAAAGGTAAATTTCACTTTCTTAAAACAAAAACTTTATATTTTCCTGTTACGATTAAAAACCTTTGTCCATTTCGATACTCTATAAACATTTTATCTATATTCAAGACCAGCTGGTGATTTGCGCATTATTATCATGTCATAAGCAAAAACAAATAGTAAATAGAGCATCACGTCCTCTACACTAAACGTCTATTGCAATCAGAAATCACTGATTTTTCATATTTGATATCTATGATATCACCTTGTCGTTATCCATAGTTACATGTGAGTGCAAGCGATGGGACCATTGACAGGAAAAGTCGGAAGTATCGTTACCATGCCAATACCATATTGCTAATCTAAACCATTGCTGATATGAATTATATTAAACATTGATATATGTGCACACTTAAGTCCTGAAATATATAAGCATGTGAATTAGTTAACAAGCCAATTGTTTGTCCACGTTTTCAAAGATGTTTCATTATGCTAAATATATTGATGTTACAATACTAAATTTTCAGTGCTGATTATAATGCACATGATATTTATTGCAGTTTCCAAGTTAAGGGTTATTTTGGAATGAAATGATGGCGAAATTTGAAACACTATACTTTTACGTCAACATCTAGTAATGAATAGTCCTTATGGATGGATGTGTGGATGGATGGATGGATGGATGGTGGGTGGGTGGATGGATGGATGGATGGATGGATGGATGGATGGATGGATGGATGGGTGGGTGGATGTATGGATGGATGGGTGGGTGGTTGTTTGGGTGTTTTGGTGGATGAATGGATGGATGGAGGGTGGGTGGATGGATGGATGGGTGTATGTATGTATGTATGTATGTATGTATGTATGTATGTATGTATGTATGTATGTATGTATGTATGTATGTATGTATGTATGTATGTATGGGTGGATGGATGGGTGGATGGATGTGTGTGGGGGTGGATATACGGATGGATGAACGGGCGGATGGATGATGGATGGATAATGGATGATGAGAACAATTAAGGTGTAGCATCTATCGGTGACGACAAAAGATTAAGAATGAAAGTAAAAATGTTCTAGGTGTATGGTATTATCCTCAGTGCGAAAGAGAACAATGCAGTAAAATCAGCCTTTATCTCTTTGTGCTGATGAAGTGCTGTGTTATGGGTTTATGATGCGACAGAGAACCATGCTACACAATCAGTCTTTCTGGTGGAGAGCTGCGTTAGTGTGGCGCGCTAATGTACAACAGAACACCAACACGACGAACAACGTTGCTCACGCCTGTATCGGCCATTAAAATACGGATATGATGTGGCAATCCTTTGATGTTTGACAGGTAGACGCTTTCCTTTATGGTAATTCATACTTGATGATACTTGGTAATGAAACCATACGATTGAAAATTGCTGCAATGGCAATGGCAGTAACAAACTGTTGCAAGTGTTATCAAAGCGTAACTTGATGAACCCAGTCGTCAAAACACAGCAAACTAAAGCTCACAAACACAATTATGATACCCTGTTAACTTCACCACTATCGAATAAACAGTTCTCGTCTGTTTCAGCCACATCATACCACAGTTTTAACCAATCTAATGTCTAATATCTAATTGGCATTCGCCTTTAACTATGTCAATTTCGATGTTCTACACACAGTTGAACGGTAATGAAGAGCACAATCACAAACTGCTGTTACAACGTGAACATGCATACACAAGGTGTTACTTGTTTATACGTGATATGTTTGTAACAGAACCTACCTGATACGAAAAGGTTACAGTATCAAATGTACTGGTAAATGCTGTGGGTCAGTCTGGTCAAACTATGCGCTGATACTACGGAGCTTCTGTATACGCATCCCTAGTCCCACATGGCGCTCGACCATTTGGTCACGTGTGCATAAATATACGTGAAATGTCCTGTGGCTGTAAGCAGCTGTTATCATATATTATATATTTTTATCAAACCATATCATATATTCATCTAAATCCTACCGACACAAAATGCGATGAAATGGATAGTCAAGGTATAGGGAATAATATATAATATAGACTCACCTAAAACACTCACTATATGTTATGTATATATATGGTTACAACGGAGACTGATGTCTCCGCTAACTTGGGGGAACCAACTGCAAACCTTATGCAGATGATTTGCACGAGGATCATGCATCAAATTGCTGAAAAGCATGTGCAAATATCACGTATGTGAACAGTTGCGTTTTGGTGTAAACTTTTTATACGAATTCGCCAATTTTCACTGATTTGTATCATTTATTAAATTCATGACAATAATCTTTTCAATGTTTTACAATACATCAGTTCATGTGTAAACAGTACCTTTAAACAGTTATGGAATATTTTCCAAAATGTAGTTTAGAACAGTTGAAGAAAGTGGCTATATTTACACCAGTGAGTCTAAACGTTTGATGGGAAGTATATTTCAGGCACCCAGATCAGCCTGGGCCCACTTACACAAAGCAATCTTAGCGCATAGACTATCTTAAGTATATGTTGGAGTATGGGAGTTACGATCATCGTATCACGAAGATCGCTTTGTGCAAGTGGGCCCTGGTGTGTACGCCACTTTTGGTGTTTTATGTTTTTGTCAGTGCTCAGGATTTACCCACTGCTTCTATAAGCAAATAACCTTCCGGTCATTAATACGTAGCTGAACTGCTTCCAAACTAACATGTTTGCCTCTTAGAGAGTTCAAGAATATCATAACTGTATGATGGCGTCTTGCAAGTAATTAGTATTGGGCCAAGCAACCCAGTGACCAATGTCTGTAGCCATATTCCACTGTACTTGTATGTACAATTAATGTGCCCCTATTAACCTTGAAAGTCTGTGTGTACGTGCGTGCGTGCGTGCGTGTCTGTCTGTCTGTCTGTGTGTGTGAGTGTGTAAGTAATGTTGTGAACAAAGCTGTATGCATGTCCCTACGTGAATATCATTTATAACACACCCTTTAGTTTACACAGTTTTCATCACAAAACAACACAATGCTTCTTATCATGCGTACATCTGATGACTCAAAATTATTATTGATCATCGTTTACGTCATAGGCCACGTGATCTTGCATCTTGTGTAGTTTGAGGCCTTGGGCGGATCCGTATGTTTGAGTTACCCCATTCTGTCCTTAGAAACTGCGAGTATCACGGTTTTGTAAAAATGAACGGTAAAGGCCTGAGAATACTAACTCTGGAGTATCTACCGAAACGGATTCAGTTTGGTGTAAAGGGCAAACAGTGGCCAAAATTATGTAAATGGATCACTGAAAATCATCGACACCGGGTGTCCGTGAAATAAACATCTATCTGTGTTTGTTAAAGTGAATTCAATTATATGTAAGTTCCCTTGGGGTTCACTTTTCGTCAGTTAACTTCACGTTAGTTCGGTAGTGTAGTTTTATAGTTCACTTTATGTGTGTACTTCACATTAGCTCATTTCACGTCAAATCACTTTGTGTTAAATAACGACAAGTTAGTTCACTTTATTTTACGTGTGTTTATTTTGCATTAGCTCTTTTTCATGTACATGTATGTTCATTTCAGCTCTACTGGCGTTAATACATTTCACGATAGACCTTCTCATCTAAATTCACTTCACTTTAGCTCTTCTCGTGTTAGTTCACTTCATTTTAGTTCTTCTCATGTTAGTTCACTTCACTTAACTCTTCTCGTGTTAGTTCGCTTCACTTTAGCTTTCTCGTGTTAGTTCACTTTACTATAGGTCTTCTGGTGTTAGTTCACTTCACTTTAGCTCTTCTCGTGTCAGCTCACTTCACTTTAGCTCTTCTCGTGTCTGTTCACTTCACTTTAGCTCTTCTCGTGTCAGCTCACTTCACTTTAGCTCTTCTCGTGTCAGTTCACTTCACTTAGCTCTTCTCGTGTCTGCTCACTTCACTTTAGCTCTTCTCGTGTCTGCTCACTTCACTTTAGCTCTTTTCATCTTAGTTCACTTCATGTTAGCTCTCATGTTAGTTCACTTCATGTTACCTCTTCTTCTGTTTGTTCAGTGCATGTTAGCTCTTCTCGTGTCAGTTCACTTCACTTAGCTCTTCTCGTGTCTGCTCACTTCACTTTAGCTCTTTCCATCTCAGTTCACTTCATGTTAGCTCTCATGTTAGTTCACTTCATGTTACCTCTTCTTCTGTTTGTTCAGTGCATGTTAGCTCTTCTCGGGTTTGTTCATTGCACGTTAGCTCTCCTCGTGTTAGTTCACTTCATGTTAGCTCTTTTCGTGTTAGTTCACTTCACTTTAGCTCTTCTCGTGTTATTTCACATCATGTTAACTCTTCTCCTGTTAGTTCACATCACACTAGCTCTTCTCGTGTTAGTTCATTTCACATTAGCTCTTATCGTCTTACTTCACTTCACTTTAGCTCTTTTCATGTTAGCTCACTTCACTTTAGCTCTTCTCATCGTAGTTCACTGCATGTTAGCTCTTCTCGTGTTAGTTCACTTCATGTTAGCTCTTCTCGTGTTAGTTCACTGTATGTTAGCTCTTCTCGTGTGAGTTCACTTCATGTTAGCTCTTCTCCTGTTAGTTCCCTTTAGCTGAGCCTCTTTTCCTGTTAGTTCACGTAAACTCTTGCCCTGTTTATTCCCTTCACGTTCACCTTCTCATGTCAGTTTACGTACTGTCAATTCTCCTCACATTAGGATACTTCTTCCGTGATAGTTCACTTCTCGTGTTTATTACTTGACATAAGTACATGTCAATTCCCTTCACGTAAGACTTTTTCACGTTAGTTCAAATAGCATCAGTTCTCACATTATATCTTCTCATATCATTTCACTTCACGTCCGCCCTTTTCATGTCAGCTTGATCTTCAGTAACCCATGTTTGTCGTTAGAGGCGACTAATGGGATCGGGTGGTCAGGCACGGGTTGGTTGACACATGTCATCGTATCCCAATTGCGTAGATCAATGCTCATGCTGTTGATCACTGGATTGTCTGGTCCAAACTGGATTATTTACAGACCGATGCCATATAGTTGGAATATTGCCGAGTGCGGCGTAAAGCTAAACTCACTCACTCATTAGTTCTTCTTAAGCCATCAACACCATAATTCACTACATATTAATAAATGCACGCCCCACGCCCCACGGTTAGTACGCCCCACGGTGGTTCTCACCAAGTTATTCTAATTACCCTTCATTAAAGTTCGCTTCACTTTATCTACGAGGGGCGATCAAAATGTATTTGGAATCACCAAGAAAACGATACAAATGCAGTTATTTTTATGTTTTATTTTTCTACAAATATCTGTCAAGCTCAAGCAATTTGGTTTTGCTATGTTCCAGTCTCAAGATCCCCATTTTGTTTGACCTTTTATCTTGGTATCCTCAAAGAACGCAAAAGCTACAACAAATGCATAAAATACTTCAGGAAACAAAATATGCAAGAAATATTTTGTGTGTTTGAGATTGATAGAAGTCCCCTAGAATCACACTAAGGTATTTACATTCATAAAAAAGTAATTTGAAATTACAATCGCTTGTTAAAGTGACTCCCCCCTTCATGTTGACTGAAAGAGCTTGTTTTGGAGACACTACCCATCCCCCTTTCAGATGACGTAATCATAAGGACATCGCTTATTCTAATGTTTTCACTTATGCATACATGATGCCAAGGGTTCAAACTGAATACTGAATGGTCACACAAGTGTCAGCTCACAATATATTGTTAACAGTACCAGCTTGAATATCTGGACACAATGTTTTAGGAAGATTGAAATGGGGGTGTCCTTAAAAAATAGCCCCCGACTAAATATAAATCAGGCAGTCCAAATTTTGAATGTTGATTATGACGGGAAGTCATCCAGTACTATACTGAACATATTTTATATGACATTATCTGAGGGCATACCATTATCCAAGAGGTACCAAATGACAGATCGTATTTCATTTTCTGCAATTTTGTTAGAAATATTATACCCCAATGTGTTGTGATGACAAATATCTGGTTAACCACATTACTGACACATGTGAAATTTGGGATATGGCTTTGCTAATGATTCCTTCAAAATAAAATGGAAGCTTTTCAAACATTGGACATCGAGAATATAGTTAGGCTACATACTGTTTGATCGACCCTCGTATCTCTTCGCGTTAGTTCACTTCGAGCCGCTATGTTGTAACACGATTACTGTTCAGCCTGACCCTAAACATATGATCACTGTCGCATACATGTACAATATTGATTTCTCGTACCTTTTTCTCGTTTATGTGAATTGCTAAATGGAATGTAGGTTTTCAATTATGTACGGATTGCACACTTTCTATAAACAGCCCGTCGCTAAATTGATTCTCAAAAAGTACATATTCGATTAGAAACCACGATCCCGATTCCTTTTCATATTTACATGTCATTCCTTATATGGTCAATAACATATTGTACACGCAGAGCACATGTATGATGATAGCCTGGGGCGTTGGAGTGAGTCAGTTTAATTTTTACATCGCTGAGGCAATATTACAGCCATATGTGGATACAAACAATATTCATTTTAAAGTATGTGTCAATAAAGGACAGTAACACAGAAGAAAAGTGTAGCGCAGTTTCACAATAAAACAAACCTGGGACCACTTGCACAAAGCGATCATAGCGCTAAGACTATCGTTAACCTATGTTAAAGGAGCTAGGAGTGTCTTTGGGATAAGATCGTTTTGTGCAAGCGGGTCCTGATCAACATTAAAACACATATATAGACATCAGATTCAGACTCATCAAATATAAATAGGCTATAGACACCAATAACCAATGTTTAGACCACCTTATTAGGTGGGGGCTTACTGTACCTTTGCCTCCAGCATGATTCTCTAGCAGGACGGGAGTTAGACATCGAGTGTGGTTGGT